AGTGTCATGCTCACAGCCACCGCACTCTGGACCTACTGGGCTCCGGCGGTCCTTCCGCCTCAGCCTTCCAAGTAGCTGGAATTACAGGCGCATGCTACCATGCCCGGCTAATTTTTTTTATTTTATTGTAGAGATAAGGTCTCACTAAGTTGCCCAGGCGGGTCTTGAACCTGCTGGCTCAGGCAATCCACTCACCTCAGCCTCCTGAAGCCCTGGGATTACAGGCTGAGCCACCGAACCCAGCTACGTTGGCTAAATTTAAGCTGTGGTGGGCAGGGTGGGCTTCCTGGCCCGCCCCCGGGTGCTGATGGGCTCTTCATGCTTTGCGGGAAAGGACAGACCAGGGCGCTGAGAGGAGCTCTGTCTGGTCCTAAGTGACAACACCTTGTATTCAGTCGCTTGGTCAGTTGTGGCTTCGTCCAGGAAGCATGCACGGACTTCCTGCTGTGTGTCGGGCTCTGGTGGGGCCCTGGAGACTTATCAGACACGAAACAGACCTGGTTCCTGCCCCCGTGCGCATGACAGCCTGGGGAGGGAGACAGACCAAGGGGAACCGATTTGGAATGAGTTGGGTGTTAAGAGAGCAGGTGCAGGTGCCGTGAGTGTGTGTCGGAGCCGCCGGGCCTGCCAGGCAAGGTCAAGGAAGGCAGCTCAGAGGAGCTGGTGTTTCAGCTGTGATCTCAGAGTGGTCTGGGTGTTGGCGAGGGGAGGGGAAAGAGCATTCCAGGTCCCGGACAGCATGTCGAAAGGCCTGAGCGAATAAGGATCAAGTCTTCCCTGGGGTCCGAGAGCGAGGGTAGGCAGAGGAGAGAAGCTCGTCATGACTGCTGAGCTTCTAGCCACGGCTTGGGGCAGGGATGCTCGGACCCCTTCTCTGTCCTCCACGTTTCTCTGTGTCCCTGGACAGAGCAGCCGTGGAGGCCGGGGCTGGTGTTAGCCTGGGGTGTCTCTAAATGAGCAGCCCCGGCCACGTGCGTGGACCCTGTTGCTGGGATGTGTCTGTCTCCTTTCCAGAGGCCCCAGCTCGCTGAGCTTCTGAGGAAGGGCTCCATCCTACCCGGTTGTCACTGGGTGTCCAGGGCTTGCTGCGGGTGCTTGCAGGTACGTGGTGCGTTTGTAGAGGGAAGACTTTTCTCTGTTCTCTCTCTTACATGCAGAGCAGATGAGGATGGGGACGACTTGGAGGAGGAGCATGTGACTAAGGTGAGACACGCGTCTTCGTGTCCCCTGCTTTCCACCCAGGGTGGAGGGAGCTGGAGCCTTCCTGCCGCCTCTCACCCTCCTGCTGACAAACGCGCTTCCAGCCTGTGAACCTCATGGCTTCCTAGACCCAGCTGCGATCCCTCATTGCTCCTTGGCCAGCTCCCTCGGCCAACGGTCCCCTCTCTGAGAGCCTTGGGCCTGGGCCTGCTGCCCCCACGCTTCGAGGGGCAGCCTTCGGGGCTGAGGCTGGGTGGCTTCTGTCTCCACTTGGTTGTTGAGGGCACGGGGCAGGGCGGGCTCGAACCGGCCCGTGGGCGTGGCTCTTGCATTTCCGTGGGCATGGGATGCCGGGGCATGGGATGCCGCGGCATGTGTGCTCTGATACTTCTCAAATGCAAATGTGCTGGCGTTCGTTCCTTTAAGACTTCTGTTTTCTGTTGGGAGTAGGAATTTTCCCCTTTCTCTCTTTTCCTCTCTTCACTTGTCTATCTCAGAGGAGGAGGGGGAGGCTTCTGCTCAGCTTCCTCCTCTCTCTTTGGGGCGTCTGGGAAACACCCTTTCGTCCACACCTACTCCCCAGAACGGGAGACGCTCTGCCACGTTGAGAATGGCCACTTGGGGAAGCGCTCCTACGCTCTCCAGACCTTCCCCCTGCATAGAGGCCAAGCGTACCTGATGGAGAGTCACCTCAGGGGGCATTCCCTTGAACTTCTGCGCCCGCAGCGCCTCAGGGACTCCCTGGCTCCTCGTTAGATGAGACCCAGGAGGGGAGATCTCATCCTGCGGACGGTTGTATGTACGGGTGTGGTCTCTTCCTGTTCCCCTAGCCTCAGGCACTGGCGTGGCTTGGTGTGCAGAGGATGCGGGGACGTGACGGTCCCCTCTCTGAGTGCCCTTTCCTCTGGCCAGATCTATTACTGCAGCCGGACACACTCCCAGCTGGCGCAGTTTGTGCGTGAGGTGAAGAAGAGCCCCTTCGGCAAGGACGTGCGGCTGGTCTCCCTCGGCTCCCGACAGGTGAGTGGCGGCGAGGGTCTCGGCCAGGGGACCTTCTCCACACCTGTTGTCCAGGCCTGGGAAGATGCAGGGTCTGAGGCAGGCTGAGCGGTGGGAGGGTCAGCCCCCCGGCCTCACTGGTCAGCCAGTGAAAGGCAAAAGGGATGGACAGGCCTGGGTGGGTCAAGTGTGTGTCGTTCAGCCAGCAGCATTCCTTAGCCTCTTGCTTTCTCCTGGTTGTAGAGCCTTTGTGTGAACGAAGACGTGAAGAGCCTGCGTTCCGTGCAGCTCATCAATGACCGCTGCATGGAGTTGCAGAGAAGCAAACACGGTAGCCCCGGGACTGTGGCCCAGCCCTGGTCGGCCTGGGGAGGGAGGGCGGGGGGAGAGACGGGGCACTGGAGGCTGGGCCAGGGACACGGAGATCAGGGCCGTGAGTGCCTTGAACAGAAAGAATGGCGGAGGCGGCCCTGACTCCCGAAGGCCCCTCTCCCGGGGAAGGTGTTCCTGATCTCTGGACCAGTGTCTAGTCCAGATCCGTGGCTTGGAGATAGTTGTCTAGGCTCTTGATGGAGAACCTCGAAGGCAATCCCAGAGCATTACGATGCGACCACAGTCGCGGTCCTGGGAAGGGGTTTGCAGGCCCCACCCAGGGGAATGGGTCTCGACGTTACGGCGCTCACCGCTGGCCCCATCGGTAGTTGTCTCGTCTTCCTTTGCTCCCATGTGCCTGTCTCACCTTCAGAGAAGAAGCACGGAGCCGAGCAGGAGAAGCCGAAGAGGAGGAGGCAGGAGAAGCAGGCCGCCTGCCCCTTCTACAACTGCGAGCAGATGCACCTTCTCCGGGATGAGGCCCTGGCGGGGGTGAAGGACATCGAGCAGCTGGCGGCCCTTGGGAAGGAGGCCGGAGCCTGTCCCTACTACGGGAGCCGGTTTGCCATCCCTGCAGCCCAGGTGAGGACCCGGGCGGGTTCAGAAGTTGTTCGTGGCTTCCCTCCTCACTCATCAGTCTGCAGGATGCCACCCACCACAGTTAGACACATGGTCATGCTGTGTGCGGGGGGCACCGAACCCATGTTCTTCTAGCGTCCTAGCATGTGGGTTGGAGGAGGCCTGTGGGTTCCTGGGTGGCCCTGGGTTGTAGGGCCGACAGGCATTATTGGGGGACAGCAGCAGGAGCCAGGAACGCGTGTGCACTCCCAGGGGAGCCGCAGGAGCGCACACCAGGAGCTGCGAGCCGTGCAGGGAGGAGCTGCACAGCCCAGCGTGTCTCCAGAGGCTTGCCACGTGCGACCCACCTGCAGCACCATCTCCTCTTGCTCAGTGACTTTAAACAGGGAAAACTGCTGGGTGACACATCAAATGGCATCTTACGGGGTGGGCATGATTGAACCGTTCTCTTGCTATTTCCTTAAACTGCGTGACTTTGGAAAACAGGGTGTCACTCATAGAGAATCCAGTGTAATCCAGAAAGATTGAAGTAGGTTTTTAAAGGTGCAGGAGCAGTGGAATGCTCACCGGCGTGAACTGTGTGTGAACACTTGGAAGGGTGGAGGAGATCCCGGTCCCCATGCCATCCCAGGCCTGCCCCTTGGATCTGCTTGTCTCAGAGCATGATCATCGCTGTAGTTATTTGTGCATAAACATCGGAAGATGCCCTGAAACTTAGGGTGGTGATTTTTTTTTTGAGTTGGAGTCTCAGTCTGTTGCCCAAGCTGGAGTGCAGTGGCACGCTCATGGCCACCAGAGCCTCACCCTGCTGGGCTCCAGTGATCCTTCCGCTTCAGCCTTTCAAGTAGCTGGAACTACAGGCGCGCGCTACCATGCCCTTCTAGTTTTTTTTTTTTTTTTTTGGTAGAGATGAGGTCTTGCCAAGTTGTCCAGGCTAGTCTCGAACCCCTGGACTCAGGCAGTCCTCTCCCCTCGGCCTCCCAAAGTGCTGGGATTACAGGCTTGAACCACTGGGCCTGGCTGATGATGGTGAATTTTTAAAGCACCTTTACCTCATTTGGCCTTTGCAATATTCCAGTGAAATACTGTAGCTACATCCTACATGAGGACGCTGGGCCCCAGCAAGTTACAAGTGGTTTATGTTTTCTTACCACGAGGGAGTCATGAAACTGGTAGTAAAACCTGGGCCTTGCGGTTCCAGCTCCCTGAATCTTCATTTTGTATATCAGTATTCTTTTTTTTTTTTGAGTTGAAGTCTCACTCTGTCACCCAGGTTCAAGTGCAGTCATATGGTTACGGCTCATACAGCCTCGGCCTCCTGAATTTTGGCAGTTCTTCTGCTCTAGCCTCCTGGATAGCTGGGACTACAGGTGCATGTTTACCATGCCCAACTAATTTAAAAATTTTTTTTGTAGTGACAAGGTCTTGCTTTATTGCCCAGACTGGCCTTGAACTGGGCTCAAGCAGTCCTCTCACCTTGGCCTCCCAAAGTGCTGTGATTACAGGCATGAGTCACTGTGCCCAGCCTATATGTCAGTATTTTAACTGGAAACATTTTTATAGCAACACACAACTAGAAATCTACAGAGTGCTTTTATTTTTGTTACTCCTACCTTCACTGCTTAGCCCTCACTTGAGGTGGAGTGTGTCAAGCCCATGAGGAAACTAAGGGTCAGGGAGGTTAGATAACTTTTTCTTTTTTCTTTTTTTTTTGAGTTGGCGTCCCACTCTGTTGCCCAGACTGGAGGGCAGTGGCACGTTCCCGGCCACCGCAGCCTTGACCTGCTGGGCTCCGGCGATCCTTCCGCCTCAGCCTTCCAAGTCGCCGGAACTACAGACTCACGCCACCATGCCTGGCTAATTTTTGATTCATTGTAGAGACGAGGTCTTGCCAAGTTGCCTGGGTGGGTCTCGATCCCGCAGACTCAGGCCATCCTCTCGCCTTGGCCTCTCAAAGCATTGGGATGACAGGCTGAGCTACTGAGCCCGACCAACAACTTTTTCACAGTCACGCAGCTGGGAGGTAGCTGCTCCAGGACCAGAAGACAGGGCTGCTTTCTGGTTACGTCAGCAGTTTTCACAGTGTTCTGAGGCTATCCAGGGGATATCCAGGGGGTACCCTAGGGGCAGAGACGAGGCTAGGCAGCCAGGTGCTGCTCTCCCCCACCCCTGCCCATGGTTCGTCAGCGGACAGATCAGCTGCATCTTCAAGGGTCTCATATATTTGATATTCCATGGAAACTTCGGAGCAGAGGGTCTGTTGGCTACAAGCTCCCCTGCTCCCTCTCCGAATCTCCCTACACATAGTCCAGGCAGGAGGTAGAAAGTTCACATCAGGAGCTCAGCGCAGGGTGGGCCGATCTGCCATGGGGGGTGGGGTCCCACCCTGCTCAGGGTGCCTCGTCTGTCCCCCAGCTGGTGGTGCTACCCTACCAGATGTTGCTGCACACGGCCACCCGGCAGGCCGCAGGCATCAAGCTGCAGGGCCAGGTGGTGGTCATCGACGAGGCACACAACCTGATCGATACCATCACGGGCATCTACAGCACAGAGGTCAGCGGCTCCCAGGTGGGTTGGCC